TTGGTGCATTGTTGTCTCCATAGCTCTGATACCATGTAGAACTTTGAACTCTCAAAGTGTTTAAGGATCGGACAACACAGATTTTACTCTGTTTTGTCTTACCTCTCTGTTTTGTATAACCACTCAATGTATCTCTTTGTTGATCTTCCTCTGTTTTGTATAACGAGAAAACCGCATGACTTTATTAGATAGTGAAAGCAATATTTATAGGTTTACAAGACACACTTTGGACTAAGAGTTGCATCTCTAACAGATGTCTCAATGTGGAGACACAACTACTCAACAATAACTACTTAGCGGTTACTTATATCATACGTATCTCATAAGTGATACGAATGATTTACATATTAGTGCTATCATACATTATATGACTCTAAATAAAACAAATATGAAGACTTGATCACTTCCAACATCGTGAAGAGGGAAATAAATGTATACACGAACACAAGACACAACAAACCCTTGTCGTTTTGTACTTTGCTCTTTTCTGTTTCAATGGGCCTGCATGGGCTTGGTTTCTTTTAGCAAAACAAAATGGATGGGTTTGAGATGTTGGTTTTGTGGTTTTTAGAGCATATCAAGGAGAACTCCAAAGAGTTTCTCAATTAAAAAAAATATATCAGTATTTTAATACAATTTGATTATATAAATAAACTTTTATTTAAAATAACAAATTGAATTGTTTTAGACAAGCGTTTTAATAGGGTTCTCAAGAATATCGCGAACCTTTCTGAGAACCTTTCTACACTTTCTTTACAATTATTATTTTTTTTTTTTATTATGAGAAATTCACTTAGAAACCTTCCAATTAGGCCTGAGATTTATATCCGTCATCCGTGGATATCCGTATCCATATCCGGTTTTTGATCCGAAAAAACGGATATCCGGTCAAACGGATACAGATACGGATAGTAAAATAACGGATATCCCGGTTATGTATACGGATACGGATAATCCTTAAATTTGGGCCGGATAACGGATATCCAGCAAAAAAAAAACATATATATTATAAATTAAAAGGCTTATGACTCAACTTTTCAAGTGTTAAAGCCCAAAAGAACTTGTAAGCCCAACTTTTTAAGTGTTTTTATTTTATTTTCATTGTTAATAAATAAATCATATGACAAAAATTAAAAATAAATTTCTAAGAAGAATTTAAGAAGTTGATTAATGTCTCTTTTTTTTTAAAACATCACTTGAATCTTTTAAACGTTTTCCTACTTTAATAAATTCTTTGTTTTTGTAATGTTTTGTATATATAATCAACTTTTCGCTATTTTATGAATTTTTTAAGTTTTTTTTTATGTATGATATTAATCAATTAAGGATTTTAAAACACTATTTCCGGACATTCGCGGATATCCGAATTTTTAACGAATTTCCGGATACGGATACGGATACTAAATTGGCGGATAATACGGATATCTTAAAAAAACCAGATATCTGCTCCGTTTACAGGCCTACTTCCAATAGAGGTGTTCTTACGATCATTTACATGACAATTAGACTGATGAATTTATTTTTTGCTCTATATTTTTCAAAATTAACAAAATGGTCTAAAGTAATAATTTAAATTCTTAATTATAAATCTTAACTTCTTAAAACCTAAATTCCAAAAACTAAACCTTAATCTAGAGACTAGAATCATCAACCCTTACTCATAATAATAATTTGATCCATAATAACTATAAACTTAAAAAGAAGGGTTATTTTGAAAACTACTGTTTTTAAGTTATACTTTGAAAACTACCTTTTTATTTTTGATGAAAACTAGAATATTTTATATATAAAATGACAATTTGGTATTAATTTAAATTTAAAGCTATATTTTTTAATAAATAAACTTAATTCGAAATTTAGGGAAAGAAAAAAAAACTAAATTAAAGATAATTTTAATTAAAGTTATATATATATATATATATATATTTAAAACTAATATGGTTTATCAATTTTATATATTAAAATCTAACAAGATAATATCTAAAAATATTATAAATTATATCACTTAATATTTGGCATGTTATATAAAGTAAAATAATCTCCAACACTCCAAACACATTTTTTAACTCAACATTTCACAAAGGGGCTTTTGCAAAAATGCCACTTTTAGAAAAATACCTCTTTTTTAAAACCTTATAAAAAATGCTTTTAAAAATATAAGACTTACCCAAATATGTATGTAATATTATTAAAACATACACAAACTACATTTATATGTATCTAAAATCTTATAAATACTTTATAAATACCTTATAAATGCATTTTAAATACCTTTAAAAACCTTTAAAATATCTTGTAAAACCTTTGAAAAACCTTAAAAATCCTTTAAAATAACTTGTAATACCTTTAAAAACACCTTATAAAACCTTATAAATACTTGGATCGAGTCTTCAAGTAGTAGTTACAATCCATAAGTACCTTATAAACCTAATAAAACTTATAAAAATTTCAGATTTAAAAAGGGGCATTTTTGAAAATGGACATCTAAAAGGGACATTTTTGAAAATGGGTACACCAAAAGGGGTATTTTTAACAATTTTCCTTTCACAAAACTTTGCTTCAATTCAATGATTCTCTTTGAATTTTTTTTGTTATTCTTTATTGTTTTAAAAAATAACACATGACTTAATATCGGTAGAATGTTGTTATGCATTATTTTTTAAAAAATATTTATTATAATAAATTTTTGGAATTTTTAGTTATATAAAAACTTTGTAAAAATTATATATTAAATTCTTATCAATAAATATATTTTATATTTAAAATATAGATATTTTGATTAATTGTTATTAAGTTTAAGTAAATTTTAGTAATTTTACATATTTAAGTTACTTTTAAAACAAAATTATAAAAAAGGTATTTTTCAAAAGTGTAAACAAAAAAAGGGTATTTTTCCAATATGTAAATGGGAGATTTTTATAAATATACTAAATTATATAAGAAATTTGAAAAGTACACTAAGTTTTATAGTAATTTGAACAATACTCTATTTATATTGAGAATTTACCATAATACCCTTCTTATTAATTTAAGCATTTTTTAAATTAATAAATTAAAAATAATATATTTTTTAAAAAATAAGTAAAATTTGTTATTATTTAATAATAATAATCAAAAAATTTATTTACAATGTTTGGAGTAATCATTATCTAAATTTTGAATAGATAAAAATATAAAATATTATTGTTTATAATATTAGTAAGATTTGTAATTTACTTAAAATCAATAATTAAAAATTATTTAAATTATAATAAATAAACAAAAAGTTCTTCTTATTTTTTCGTAAATTTATTCATCCTATGTTGATTTATTGATAAAGTCGATTTTTTTGAACTTTCGACTTATTTTCCATTTTTTTACTTAATTTTCTTTCTTGTCGATTTATTTTACAACACTCGACTTATATTTTGACTAGTTGATTTATAAAATAGTCGATTTTTTGATCTATTGACTTATTTATTTTGTTTATTGGTTTATAATTTTTGCTGTCGGCATGTTTATTCATGGTAAACTTAATTCATTATATGTTGACTTATTAATAATGTCGATTTTTTGAACTGTCGACTTATATTTCATTTCGTCGACTAAATTTATTTTCTATCAATTTATTTTAAAACGGTCGACTTATATTTTGGTTGATTGATATTTGACTTTGTCGACTTTTTTAAACTATTGACTTATGTAATTTTACATCGATTTATTGATAAGGTTGATTTGTTGAACTGTTGACTTATATTTTATTTTTTGTCGACTTAATTTTCTTTTCTATCAACTTATATTAAAACAGCTGACTTGTATTTTAGTTAATTGATTTTTTACATTTTCGATTTTTTGAACTGTTGATTTATATTTTTAGTAAAGATATTCATTTTTAATTATAATAGTTAAATAAATAATTTATTTTAGAGTAATTAATTTAAATTATATAATTTAATTTTGTAATAAATTTAAAATAAATATAGTGCATATATATTCGAAAATATTAGCAATGACAAAATCTAAAAAATATTTTTAAATTATATATAATAAAAGTTTGTAGTTAATATTAATCAAATCATTATCCAAAATTATACTACATCAACCCAAAATCTAGATAATTTTATTATATAATTAAAAGTCATAATTTATATCATAATTATTAGTTTTAGTTTCATCATTAACATTTTCACAAAATAATAATAAAAAAATTTGAGTTAATAATTTTTCTTTTAATATGAACAATTTAATTTTGAATTTTAAATAATATTTGTAACTAATCAAATTATTTTATTTTCGTTTTCTGAAAATTTTTAGTTATTAACTAAGGACAAAAATGTCATTTTGGAAAAAGAATAAGATACATCTCAAATTTTTTAAAATTATAGTATACATTTCAAATTTCTAATAAAATTTAGGGCATACAGAAATACACATTCTTTTTAGAGTAAATTTGGAAAAATACCTTTTTGTTTACACTTTTGAAAAATACCTTTTCTTTAATTTTCTTTTAAAGAATGTGTATTTCTGTAGTTTTTAAAGAATTTACATATTGGAAAAATACCCTCTTTTTGTTTACACTTTTGAAAAATACCTTTTCTTTAATGTAGTCTTCACTGTATGATTGGATCTAGTCTTTTAAAGACTAGCTTTAATGTAGTCTTCACATTAAGATAACTCTTAATGTAGTCTTTTCTTTAATGTAGTCTACACAGCAAAAATACATATTTAAATGGTATATTTTTAAAAGACTACATTAAGAGTTAAAAATAATATTAGATTAATGGTATATTTTTAAAAGACTACATTAAAAGTAAAAATAAGATTAATGGTATATTTTTAAAAGACTAGATCACTAGATGTTTATTCTCCCCCGCATAGCGTATGCACGATACTAAAGATTTGAATATATTATCTTGGTCTCTTATTTTTCTATGTTTTTTCAAAGACCATTTCGATCAAGAGTCAATTAGTCAAGCTCGAGTCAAAATAAAATAGCAAAAAAATTTTGTATGGACCCGGAGATGCTCTTCTTCTTTCACTCTCTGATCGGTTATAAGTTGATAACTCTTGCAACTACAATTCCATGGCGGTGTCTCCTCTTCTCTGGACTCTCTTCCTCTTCTCGGTTATCTTCTCGATCCAATCATACAGTGAAGAAGAAGAAGATACACCGATCACGCGGTTCCAGCAATACTTAAGATTCAACACCGCTCATCCAAACCCTAACTACACAGCACCAATCTCTTTTCTTCTTGATCAAGCTAGATCCATTGGTCTCACTTCTCGAACCATCGAGTTTGTTCATGGTAAGCCAGTTCTTCTCCTCACATGGCTAGGCTCAAACCTTAACCTTCCTTCAATTCTCTTCAACTCTCATCTCGATTCTGTTCCCGCGGAATCCGAGAAATGGATACATCCACCGTTCTCAGCTCAGAGAACAGTGGATGGTCATATCTACGCTCGTGGCGCGCAAGATGACAAGTGTATTGGAGTTCAGTATCTAGAAGCAATCAGGAACTTGAAATCAAGAGGCTTCGTTCCTCTTCGTACGATCCATATCTCTTACGTTCCTGAAGAAGAGATCGGTGGATTCGATGGGATGATGAAATTTGCGGCGTCTTTGGAGTTTAGGGAGTTGAATTTGGGATTTGTTATGGATGAAGGACAAGCGAGTCCGGGAGATGAGTTTAGGGTGTTTTACGCTGAACGGACTCCATGGCATCTCGTTATTCGAGCTGAGGGGATTCCAGGGCATGGTGCTAAGCTTTATGATAATTCAGCTATGGAGAATTTGATGAAGAGTGTTGAGTTGATCTCTAAGTTTAGGGAGACGCAATTTGATTTGGTCAAGGCGGGGAAAGCTGCGAATTCGGAGGTTATCTCTGTTAATCCAGCTTATCTTAAAGCTGGAACTCCCTCCACTACCGTAAGATCATCTCGAATCCTACTCTATTTTTCTCTCTACACTTTATTGTAGAGTAAAATCCTTTCTAAACTCACTCTATAGATTAATGAATAAAATAAATCAGTTAATCGCACAAAAAAAAAAAAAAAAAAAAACGTTAAATTAACATTTTTGATATAAAAAAAAGGATATTTTAATAAAAAATTGAAGTAGAGAAAGAATTTATTTATTTTTTAGAGTGGAAAACAGAGGAATGTGTTCGAAAATGCTCTAAGCTGGTGATTTCATATGCAATTTTTTTTTTAATGCATATATAAGACATTTTGTTAAAGAGTGTTTTTTTTTTTTTTATAAGGGATTTGTGATGAATATGCAACCTTCAGAGGCAGAAGTTGGGTATGATATAAGGTTGCCTCCAATGGCAGATCCTGTTGCTATGAAGAAAAGGATTGCTGAGGAATGGGCTCCTTCTATTAGGAACATGACCTACACGGTAAAATAAATATGCCTCTAATCTCTACAATGTATAAAGTGGCCGGCAAGCATTTTTGGTTATTATAATAATCTTTAGCTCTTGGTATTCTATACTGCCATCAATCTGTCTAAGTGGTTTTGAGGTCTGCATTAGTTTTGTATATACAGTGGAGAAAAAATATATGTGCCAAGCATTTTGTGGCTATGCAAAACATTTCATCATTAGTAAAACGTATGTTCGAGATACATGTAAGCTACTTTGAAAAATTGTTAATGGCTTTAGATTATTAATTGATTTGTTTCTTTTGAGTATTCCACATTATTCATGTACCTTGAATAATTTTCATGTATACTAATTTCTTTACATAGAAAACTAAACTAATCCAATTAATTTTATTGCACCAGATAGAAGAGAAAGGAAAGTTAGCAGATCAGTTAGGGCGACCGATAATGACTCTAACAAATGGTTCTAATCCTTGGTGGTCTATCTTCAAGCAAGCTATTGAAGCAACTGGAGGAAAACTTGCAAAACCTGAAATTTTGATTTCAAGTACAGATTCACGCTTTATTCGCACTTTAGGAATTCCAGTTCTAGGTTTCTCTCCAATGATCAATACTCCTATCTTAGTGCATGATCATAACGAGGTATTGGCATGATTATATTATCTATTGACATCTTTGAATGACATATTTAATCACAATTATGATATAAGCATCTTCTTGTGGCCTCAGTTTCTTAAAGATACAGTGTTCATGAAAGGAATAGGAGTATATGAATCAGTTATCAGCGCTCTAAGTTCCTTTGAGGGAATATCTGATCAAGTGATTTGAAGGTAACATCTGCTTGAAGATTGTTCAAGCTAAGGCTCACATTTGCTTTGACCAAGATGTGTAATAGATGTTTCATAAGTATTGTTATTGACATTCACTCTAGCCTTGTGACCTTAAATGGCTGCTAATAACCCTTTGTAAATGTCAGATATTTGATTTGTGTAGAATTCTCAAACTTTGAAAAGAAATGTCATTGGTGATTGAAGCATGATTTATTTTGATCTTTCAGCTCTTAAGACTTGTTGTTACATATCCCTTGATTGCATAAGGGCTTTGTTCTATACTGATAATATTTTTGGCCTAAATGATGTTACTCGCGATTAGATTGAACTTTTTCTTCAAATCTTTTCTATAAATACATGTAATCTTATGACACATCAAATTTTTTTTCAGTATATAATTTGATTGTTGGTTGCATTATCAGGAGCAAAAAAACATTTAATACAATAAAGCCTTGACCCAAAAAAAATACAATAAAGTTTGGATAAAAAATCAACACTAAAGTTTAAAGAGCGAGAGATGAACGAAAGTGAAAGCTTAGGAAAACTATTTCAAAGAAAACCAATCTCATCTAAAAGGTTGAAAAAGGCACACTTTGTATCAAACGCCTGAGAATCTATCACTTCTGCACAAGATTTATCTCAAACACCTGATAATCTATCATTCGAATGAAAATAGTTTTCATTACCCATATTAAAAGCTTCTCTTTTGAGTTTAGTGACGAGAAACACCTTCGTTGAAATTTTGTTCCAAAAACTATTGTTTTATCATCTCTTGTGAGCATACCCAAGTAATGCCTAAAATGGGATCTGGACACTTTCACTAACCATCGATCTGACACTAAGGACTAAGGATCACTATTTAGTAACTCTGTTTCCAAATGATTTAGTAATGAACATATTTGATTATCTCATGCTAAATATTCACTTAGTGCGTGATTTAAACATCGAAAAGTTCCGATAAAATTTCTTAAAACAATATATGGTTCCTATTTTTCCATAGAAACCAAAATATACATGGATAACATGCATATACACAATTCTCCACATGCCGATTTAAGATTCTCATAAAAAGGTCCAGATTTTTATAAACCGAACTCATATGTGACTATGTGAGTCAACATAATCAGTGACAATGCCCAATTCCAATTAATCACTTTTATCCGTCTTAATAGGAATTGCATTTAAGATATCTTAGCTTAGGTCTATCGTAACTCAAACTAATGCAATGTTCAAACAATTCACTAATCCAACCTTATACCCAATGGTCTAACTACCAATCATATCCATGTTAACCCACGTACGGTCATGTACTCACTTTAGCCTAGTTTTGTGGCTTTGATATACATTTGTATGTGTTCTCTGAAAATATTATTTTTTGATTCTTTTGATTTTTTATGTCTCGTTCTTGGTATAGACATGGGCTTGAACGATGTGAAATTATGAACAACAAAAAAAAGACATGTGTTTGAACGTGTGTAGCCCATTATTCGTGACCACTGCTGTTCATGAACTTGCATTTGGTTATTGATGAATGAAATGTTTATTACTATTCCAACATATGATGTATTATAAAATAAAACGGTAAACTTAGTTGCATATGGTAAATTGATTAGTAAAAATTAATGGATGATGATTATAGATATATATGATACAAACTATATTTAGTCATGTATTTAATGTTACAATAGTAAAATAAAATGTTATAAAATTATAATAAGTTATTTTGTAATATTTCTAATCACAATAATAATCCAACTAAACTGAAAATTTGCAACACTAAAATTCAGTTTTCAAACAAATAGCAAGTATAATTGAAACACAAGGTATCTTATCATAACTGTAATATTCAAAAACTTAATAAATTTTAACATATCATATTTCAATATTTAAAATATTACTGTTTTATGAAAAACCATATGTACACGGAATATGAAGATCATAAGAATTAATTAAATTTTTATTAAACTTGTTCTGGAGACACATAGGGTAGATGAGAAGTTGAGGCTCACTGATTTTAATGGCAAAATGCACATGTATTGGACTACAAAAAGACAGTCTACAAAAAAAATTGTCAAAGAATGAAACTATAACTTAGCTCATATATGGCTATATTGTCGGGTAAAGAAGGAAGCAAAAGTGTCATATCGTACATTGGGATTTTGTTCTTTGTGATATAATCAGTGCTTCAGTCCTTTATGGACAAATGAAGAATTATAAGCCGGTGAACTAGATGTTCATATCTGCCATATCGTAGATACATAAAGTTTCGTGAAAAAGGTAACTAGAGATACAAGTATGGAAGCCGAGCAAATTCATAGTTGCTACCTATCATATTTCAATATTCAAAATCTTACAATTGCACAAATAATGCATAATATATTTTGAAAATCAAATTTACACAAAATATCTAAATTTGAGAAACTAATTAGAATAAAAAATTAAATAAAATTGTTTTAGAAAGATAATAGATTTAATCTTTTATTTTTGTTCATTGTAAAACAGAGAGAGATCAAGACTAAGGTATGCCCAAAATCTTCATGGTTGTGTGATGTGATTTCTTCCACTTCTCAAATGCTTGCACTTCTCATGGAGCCAGGCTTTCCACTACTGCAAATAATCAATCACTACATGGTAAAACTTCTGATCTTTGTGAGCTGAGTAGACAACCATGGTAGCAACCATAATGTTATACTTGTGGTTCCAGAGAAAATCCAAACCTTTAAGAAGTCGCGTTCTTTTCCTTATAAATCTAGAAGCCAGAAGTTCGGAGGGTCATTCAACACGTAATCATGATCAACTACTACAATTTCAAAATACGATGGATTCAGGTAATATATCTTGTACACAGGGCAAGCGGGATGACAACACGTTCTTGGATCACCCTACGTAGGTAGCTTGAAAGACAAGCGGGGCAAAAAAATCATCCAAAATTAGAGACAGCAAAAAAGGTATCTTCGTAACGACAAATAAAAGGCATGCTGAGACTCGGTAACAGGTCTATGAGTATACCTGTTACCAAGTAGTGACCCGTTATCATTGTAAGATATTTTTAGTGTATTTACATCATATTAAAAATGATCAGTTTAGGCTAACAAATCATTTTAATTTAGTCTAACAAATGATCAATGACGATCTATTTCATGGACGACTCCTAACAGTTATATCCGTACCAAAAAAATTTACGTTAAATGGTTCTCTTGCGCATTACTCACAATGAACAACTATACTCCTTACGCTAAAAATCTCTAAAGTCTTGTTCTATTAATCTACCATAATTTATAGTAATTGAACCTTAGATCTCATTTAGATATATTAGTTAACCCTTAATTTTGGAAAATATTTACGGTTTAATTCTGAGACTATTAATATGCCATAATTCGTAATTTCTAGTAATTAAACTTAGATGTGGTATAAAAATATTAATTAAACCCCTAATTTTGAAAATATATTTACACTTCAATTCTGTAAAAGAAGTTTCTATTAATTCAAAGTAAAAGATAAATTAACCATTCTTTTTCTATTGGTACATACACACATTTGGAATAAAAATTGTAATACAACTATTTTATTTTCTTCTACTAAAATCTTCCGGTCTCACCAACATATAAAGTAGATAATATCATTCTACACGGATGGAAAAGTCGGAGACCAATTTAAACTGTTTTGGCCCTAATATCAACCCGTTAAAAGCATATTCTTGGCAAGTGCAGTGTCCACCTAAGATACGCCATTTCATATGGCAAATCTTAACGGGATGTGTACCGGTTACGGAAAAGTTGCGGAAAAGGGGAATTGATTGTGACATGGGTTGTGCCAGATGTGGCGCAGCAGAGGAAACGATCAATCATACACTCTTTCAGTGCCACCCGGCACGGCAGATTTGGGCGCTATCACAGATTCCTACGGCTATGGGGGTTTTCCCACAGAATCTAATTTTACGAATTTGGATCACTTATTTTGGAGAATACCTACGGAAGTTGATTCATCAGCCTTCCCATGGATAATTTGGTATATTTGGAAATCAAGGAACGAAAAGATCTTTGAAAACATAGATACAGACCCATTAGAAGTATTACGATTAGCGGAAAAAGAGGCACAATTGTGGCAGTCCGCTCAAATTGAGCTCCATAATGAAAATCATGGTTCTGTGCACTTGGTAAATCGAATTCGAGTGAAGGATGTTTCACTTGAGACGGAGTATTCGGGATACCGTTGTTTTGTAGATGGATCATGGAAAGAAAGTGATAAGTTCTCCGGTACAGGTTGGTTCTGTACATCGTCAAATGGATAGCCTCCAACCATGGGAGCTGCGAACCTCCGTAGAAGTCTATCTCCACTACATACCGAAGTCGAAGCCCTTCTCTGGGCGATGAAGTGTATGATTGGTGCAGATAATCAAGAGGTAGCGTTCTTTACAGACTGTTCAGACCTGGTGAAGATGGTGTCTTCTCCAACCGAATGGCCAGCGTTTTCAGTGTATTTGGAGGAATTTCAGAGCGACAAGGAGGAGTTTTCATCTTTTTCTTTATCTTTAATTTCTCGTAAGGCTAATGTTAAGGCGGATAATCTGGCACGAAAAGTTCGTACAAAACCGCTTCATATCACTTATGTAAACAACATTCCACATGAATGACTCTAATTAATTTCGGATGAGAAAATAAAAAAAAAAAAAAAAAAAAAAAAACCTTGACCCAGGCCCAACACTACCTAATATCAATATATTATTGGCCAGTCTTCTTGCCTAATCGTAACTTCTCTCACCAACCCAAAACCACACGCGCTCATTTATCACGTCTTAAACACGCACTCACACGTGAGTTGTGAGTTCGCTTATGTTCCGCGAGTAATACCCACACGCCTCTCTTCTCTTACATCACTTATAATCATTATCTTCCTTACCTTTTTAAAATAATATTTTATTCTTATTTTGTCCTTATTAAATTATGAAAAAATATATTATTATCGTTATTAGATTACTAGATTTTAACCCGCAGTACACAGCGAGATGATTTAATTTTAAAGTTAGTATAAAAATATTTTGTAAATTGTATCTCCTTATAACATATTTATATATATTATAGTTTACAATTGTTATTAAATAACGGTATACCACGAGTCCAAGAGACAATTATTAATAAACTGAGAATTTAACCCGTATTAAAGCGGTATATAAATATTGATTCAAATTCGTTCGCCATATAAATCCTTTCCGAAATATAACTCGTTCCGTAATTTTTTAACCCGTCCCGTGATTTGTTTTTATTTTAAAATTTAATGATTATTTATTATATATAAAAGTTTACAAATCATACCATTCTCGAAAACATTTATATTTTAATAAACTGAAGATTTAATATGTATTAAAGCGGCATGTTAATGATATTTAAAATTTTATAAATACTGTTATTAAGTAACATTATACCACCGGGCAATTTTTGGTTTTATACAATCTTTTCTCAATGAGACTGATTTAATATGTCTAATATTGGTGGTATTAAAAAAAATAAGGATTTAATCCGTATTGAAGCGCGGATTAAAGATATTTTAATCTTTTTATTATTGTTGATTCAAAAACTCATCCCGCCAAACCCGTTCGGCCAAAAAGACTCATTTATTTTATTAATGTTGATCTTATTTATGTTATGATTCTGAATAATTGTCTATTTTAATCGATGTAGAACGTTGAACACACATTTTCGTCAATTAGATAATATATGTCCATTTTTAAAATTTCGAATCACAGTATATGTAGAAAAAAAATTGATTTTTTTTTTTTACTTTATGTATTATATGATGATTCAAAACAGTTAAAAACAAATTAAACAAAGATGATAGGAGAATCATAATTCTAAATCTTAAACAAATCTTTTAAATATCTAAATTATTAAATATAGAATATCCGGTATATGAGTTGAGTTAAATATAACCCGACCCAACAAATTTTTTGTGAAGGATTTTTAAAAATGGGTCGAATATCCGATTAACCCAGAAGCATTTTTACCCACTCGTCACCAAAGTGTTGCAAAAATACTAGTATAGATTTTTTTCACGTCTTTACGTCTCATAAATATCTAATAAATTATTTAAATCATAATTTCTAGAAAAAAAATATATTTTATCCTTACTTTGTCGTTATTAAATTATTTGCTTTCTTGGTATTCTTCTTTTGTTTTTCTCTTTTCTGACGTCTCTTCATCTCTATAAATATTGTAATGCATGATTTTTCTTATTATCAATTTGGAGGAAAAAAGTGAGAGACTTATCACTTTTTTTTTCTTTTTTTAAAAAAATTATTACTTCTTATTTGGCACGAGCAACGTCAATATCTCTATGAAAAGAATATTTATTTTCTTGATTCAACAAAATCAATATCAGTTTTTCTCGGGATCCGAACTCAATATTTTTTCTCTTCTCTCTTCTCTCTCTTTCCCGTGATTGCTGTGTTAATAATTTTTTTATTTTTGTGTACGTTTTTAAAACACTAAAGAGAGGTTTTGAGGAATGGCGGCGAAGAAGATGTTTGGAGCGGCGGATGCGAGTATTTTGGTGACGGGTCTTAGTCGGAGTTTTGATGATGGTGTGACTCGTGGTTATTAATGAAGAGTGACTCAGCTTAAGAAACTTTTGATTATTTGTGATAATTATGAGCTTGAGATCGTCGCGGCTCTTCGCGATGATCTTGGGAAGCCTGAGCTTGAATCTTCTGTTTATGAGGTTAGGATTCTTTTTCTCTTTATCTCTCGCTTTCCTCAGATTGTGTTTTTTCGAGTTTTTAGAGAATTGATCGTGATTGGTCAATTTTTAGTTTGAATCTTTGAATTTTGATTGAAGATTCAATTTATTGTTATGGTTTAATCTGTAAGGTGGCATTGTGGTATTAGATGAAAAATAGTCCTAAATAAGTTCGATTTTAGGGTGTGAAATTTTGCGTGAGGGTTAGTTATTTGGTTATTCGTAGTAAGTTTGTGGGAAACCCTTTAGATATGTTAACCATGGGATAAGACTTGTTGTTAGGTAGATGTAGTTCGTAGTTAACTACGAAAAAACATAAGATATTTTGACGACTGGATTAGTTGGAAATTCGTTGGAATAAGAGTTTTATAAGAAATTTCTGACCAACAAAAGTAATCAAGAAAAGTTGGTCGGAAATTTCTGAACGTTAAGCGGTTCAGGTGTTTTGTTAATGGTGATTCGTTGGACTTTGGAAAACTTTTACTAAATTATTGCTTTCACAGAGACTTCTATAGTTAGTTAGATAACCCCCAAAAAATATTTAGCTAGAATGTTCTATATGTGATGGGTGTGCGGAACATTATTTACTAAAAACATGATCACTTCTGTGATTAGTAGGAGTTTTAGCGAAATCCGGATATTTGATGTTAAATCTATGATTAAAACCCCAATTATTGGTATGGTTATGAGTCAGAATCAGATTTCGCAAGTAATATTTGCGGCTGACGTAATTTGCTTAGTGATATTTCTTTAATTAGTGACTCTTAAACGCATTAGCCAAACCTCTATAATTGGATTAACATATCCCCCTACTTGGTCGGTCTCATTATTGTCTATGACCATAGTTGCAACGTCGATGATGTTATGTGTCGACACGTGTACAACACAACTTCAATGTAACTTTTTTGATAAGTTAAGAGTAGTATCTATCAACTTAGAATGCAGGTAATTTTATGTTATGTAGGAACCAATACTATAAAAATATTGGTCCTATATTGAAAGCAAATCCTCATTTAATTTTCTTCTGCTACTGTTAAACTACCATATAACATTAAATTTTACAGTTTGCTTACTAAAGAGTAAAGTTTGCTTAGTTTTTGTTCCTAACCATTTCTTTGGCTTGTTTTAAGTGGTTTTGTCTTTAATCATTAGTATTAGATTAGTTTAATTTTGATTATGATGGTTGATTAATTATGTAGGTATCTTTACTGAGAAACTCTATCAAGTTAGCTCTTAAGCAGCTAAAGAACTGGATGGCGCCGGAGAAGGTGTGTGCTTTGAAAAGAGTTTGTTGTTGTTATATATGTTAAGTTGCTAATCGTTGTTCTGTTTTTCGGTTCAGGCCAAAACTTCTCTAACAACGTTTCCTGCATCGGCCGAGATTGTGTCTGAGCCTCTTGGTGTTGTGTTAGTTATCTCGGCTTGGAACTATCCCTTCCGTATGTTCCTAATTGATTGAATTTTCACTTTATGTTATGATACATTGTGTATGAAGTGTGACACTTTTTTTTGTTTCTTTGCAAGTGTTGTCTATTGATCATGTTATTGGTGCAATTTCTGCTGGGAATGCTGTTGTCTTGAAGCCATCGGAATTGGCTCCAGCTTCGTCTGCTCTGCTTGCGAAGTTACTGGAACAGTATCTTGATTCTTCTGTGGTGCGAGTTGTCGAAGGAGCTGTTACTGAAACAACTGCTCTGCTGGAGCAGAAGTGGGACAAGATATTCTACACAGGTTCTTATTAACTTGACTTTATGTGTTTCCTTTCAAATGTTTTATACATGAGGATTAACATGTGATATTTCCTGCTATTTTTTTGGTTAGGTAGTTCAAAAATTGGGCGTGTCATAATGGCGGCAGCTGCGAAGCGTCTTACACCGGTTGTTCTGGAGCTTGGAGGAAAATCGCCTGTTGTTGTAGACTCGGATACCGATTTGAAAGTACTGAATAGTGAATACTTCATCCAGAGTCATCCAATGTGTTTTGTTTGTACTGTGGTTGATGTAATTTGCTCCTTTTGTCTTTTGAAGGTTACTGTGAGGCGGATAATCGCAGGCAAATGGGGTTGCAACAACGGACAGGCGTGCATTTCGCCAGACTATATCTTGACGACAAAAGAATATGCTCCAAAAGTGGTAAGGTTAAGAACTTAAGATCAGAATCTTGATGCATTTTTGTATATAAACTTCTCTTTTCTCTTTTGAAGATTGATGCCATGAAGAAAGAATTGGAGACGTTTTATGGGAAGAACCCTATGGAGTCGAAAGATATGTCACGTATCGTAAACTCGACTCACTTTGATCGCTTGTCTAAGCTGTTAGATGAGAAGGAAGTTTCTGACAAAATCGTCTACGGTGGTGAAAAGGACAGAGAAAATCTGTGAGTTTCTTCTCTTTATATTATCATCATCACCTTTTTCACTTATGCTAATCCTTTGTCTCCATTTTTCAGGAAAATTGCTCCAACAATCTTGCTCGACGTACCATTAGATTCTCTGATCATGAGTGAAGAAAATATTTGGCCCTCTCCTTCCAATTCTCACGGTAGGAACAATTTTCCATTCTATATAAGCTCTACTTCATCTCTTGAAGGCAAATTTGATGATCTATTTTTGTTCTTCACAGCTCAACAACTTGGAAGAGAGTTTTGATATGATTCGCTCTCGACCTAAGCCACTTGCTGCATACTTGTTTACTCATAACAAGAAGCTGAAAGAGAGATTTGCAACGACAGTCTCCGCTGGAGGCATAGTGGTGAACGACATAGCTGTTCATGTAAAGAAAACACTAGACTTATCTGATCAATACAAGCTAAATACATACCAAAAATAGCATTTTATACTAAAGCTCTATTATTTTGCAGCTTGCACTTCACACATTGCCATTCGGAGGAGTTGGCGAAAGTGGAATGGGTGCTTACCATGGTAAATTCTCATTTGATGCTTTTAGTCACAAGAAGGCTGTTCTCTACAGAAGCCTTTTCGGTGATTCAGCAGTCAGGTATCCGCCTTACTCGAGAGGAAAGCTTAGATTGTTAAAAGCCCTTGTCGATAGCAATATATTCGATATATTCAAAGCTCTTCTCGGTTTATCTTAAACGGTAAAAGGCCGGGGACATTTCCTCCTGTATCTTATTTTCTTGGTTTTTCAAATATGAACCTATTGGTTTTCAAATATATATGTTTTGGTTTTGTGGGGATGAATATTGGAGTCGATAAATAAAAGTTTTCGGTTGATTATGGAAACCGGTTTCTTCATTTCAACTTGGTTGTTTACAAACAAAGATGATACAGAGTAAAAATCTCTTTGGATTTTTATCTAAACCATGTTGTAAAAGCTCCCCTATAAAGGGAAAGAAAGTCTTAAGCAAACAAATCAAGAAGAGACTTGAAGAATGCTATGAATCTCTGCCCTTTGTTCATCTGTAAGATGTTGCGGGAACTTAGTCCGAAACCGAACTCTCAAATCTCCTCTCTTCCCTTTCTCCTTTAGATTTGGCATTCCTTTGCCTTGAACCACTGTAACATATCCAGGGTGAATAACATCTTCTATCCTCAAACTCATATTGTCACCATCAAGTAAAGCAACAGAGAGCTCGCATCCCGTTAAAGCTTCGAGTAGAGAGACTTCCACCGCCATTTCGAGGTCATCTCCTTCTCTTTTGAACACCTCATGCTCTTTCTCAACAATCACGAATGTCAAATCAGCCGGTACACTCCCCATTGCTTCGTTTCCTTTGCCTTCAAATGTTACTTTCGTCCCTCCTTTCCATCCCGGTTTCACTTTTATTTCCACCGTCTCTTCCTCCTCGCACATTTGCCTATAAACCACAAAAACTCGGTTAGTTAGTCTTCTTTTCGCGAAACTCCGTTGCCAAGGTAGGTATTTTGTAAAGAAAGAAAACAAACCCTGAGCTAGTAATAACATCTCTTGTGATCTTGATCTTCTTGGTACATCCGTTACATAGCTCCTCGAGCGTACAGCGTAGTTTCTTCTCTGTTGGAGACGGTTTAGCCACTTTGGCCGATGAACTCGAATACAAAATCGGGTTGGCAAAGCTTCTTGGAACCGTGGTTGTCGATCTCATAAGTGTCGGCATAAATCCACCGGATTCCGTCATCCTATTGCTGCTGCTTTTGCTCCTCCCTATAAACGATAAACTCCGGAATGTCGGATTCGTCGTGGCCCCGGTGGCTGTGGCTGTGTTCTGGCTACAACTTCTTGAAAGAGATTTCTTGCTCCCCACGAAATTGGTATTGGTGTTGTCAAATCTATAACTACGAACCTTACAAAGACTGACACCTTCCACATTATTATTACCCGTCCCTTTTGTTTCCTAGAAAAAAATATTTACCAAATTCAACAAAAATCATTCAAAACAAATTATTGACAACATCGAAAACTAACCCGAAAATCGAAGGCGTTTGGTTTATTCCGTTTAGGTTCTTCATCAAAACGTTTGGTTTCGTGTTTAGCCTTATGATGATGTTTAGGTTTGTCACGAGGAAAAACCCTTGAGATTGATCGGCAAAGTTTGAAGATATCACGGAGGAGGAAGCTTCTTTTCTTCGCCGACGGCTGAGCCATCCCTTGTGTTGCCATTCACGGCGGAGATAGAGAAAGAGAAAGAGAGAGAGAGAGAGAGAGAGAGAGAGAGAGAGAGAGATACGTTTTTGGGAGATGAATGAGAATTGAAACGTTTTCTGTTTCGTAACTTCCTTTTTTAGACCAAATCTTTTGCCATTGACGGAAACAGATAGGATCGGAGCACAGATCTAAGAATCAAGATAAGAAACGCTCTCATCTAATTATTAGAAGTTGATTCGTTTTTAATTTTTTGGGGACATTTATTTCATCTCAATCATATAACTTGTCGCTGTCGTCATAATATATCCTAGTATATATTCACGTATGACATAATATTACTAATGTCCAAAATATTAGGAGTTGACCTTTTTGAAAATGTAGATATAATTCTTTAAATGGAAAATTAAGATCGGTTTGCTTAATTAATATGGAAGATTAATTTAAATATTCCATTTCTATTCATTGAATAAAACTGTCAAGTCATTTTTATGGAAATATTATTTTGGTGCTGGCTTGATAGGATTTACGCGTTCAAGAAGATCTTGCTAATAGCTAAAATATAAAATTATAACTATTTAAATCATAGGTTGATGATTAATTTAGATTAAGCTTTCGATGATCTTTTGCATTTACTTAATTTTTAGTTTCCACGTTTTTTTTTTTCTTGGGATTAAAAAATATACCCCCTCTGTTTCAATACATTTGTAATTTAAGGGATTTGTTTTTCTTGTAAAATAAGTGTTGTTTTTATTTTTCTATGCAAAAGTTTAATGGATTTAATAGTTTTTGACCAATTATATTTTACTGCATATTTTTTTATTGGTTGAATTACTTGTAGTTAATGATGTTTTTATAAAAAAGAGATAAATTAAATGAGATTTTTGTACTTTCTTAATTTATATGAAAAACTTTTAAACTACAAATAAAATGAAACAAAGGGAGTACTTGGTTTCATTTATTCATTAGGTATCATTTAAAGGGGGTTGTTGACCAAAGTGTGACAAATAACGATTGAACTTGAGGTAAAACAGTTGGTTAAGGTGTGGTTCAGATTTAGAATCAATTTGTCTGGCTAAGTTCAATTATTATTGGTTAACAATTGGTTTTGAGTCCGGTTTAATTATAAAAGTCGTTGATAAAAAAAATATATAAAAGTCAACCAAAGTTGTTAAGTTTTTTTTTTTTTTTTATCGTGATTAATTTCAAAACTCAATGATTAACTATTTCATATTATTATTATTGTTTCAAAGTTATTAAAAATGTTTAATTTAAAAAAACAATTGACAAATAATAAAGCAATGATGGCTTTTTAATATATGTGAAAACTTTAGAATATCAAAATTTTTTTTTTTTGGTAAACAACATCAGTCTTTCATGAACAGAGGGAGAATCTAATATTGAGACTGTCTTCAAAAGTGAGATCTTGAAGTTTGAAACCAGTTACTCTGTGATATAGTGGATTACTAATATTGAATGGCTAAGATAAGAGTTTTCAAATGGGACATGTAGTAAAATCACGTGTTTTTTTTTCATCTCTGAAATTTTCAAGTGTCTTTTTTTTTTGTTTATCATCATTGTTGTGCCATGAAATGGCTTTTGGCAGTCAAAAGATGACACCCTCGCATTCGTAAACCCAAAAATGTGCTAGAGAATTCCGAGGTCTCAAGCCGGGAAGAATACTAATGGTGGTCGAGAAATCTGTTAAAATAGTTCGCAACAATTTTACCGAATTTAAGTCTCCTTGCATATACCCTATCATGATTTGACTCAAATTCCTTTTAATGTATGTTATGTCATGAAACTTGATATTAAAACCTTATTTTTCCTTTGTAACTAAAAAATTTGTTCCAAAAAAAAGTGACAAATTTTTGTAGTTTAATGATAATTTGCCCAAGAATGATAAATTCTCATGTAATATAAGTATATACAACTGCTCTGAATTGTTCATTATTTAATTTATTTAAATATACAAGTGTCAAAATCACCAAAAACCCCAGAGTACAACCCTTAACCGTGTCGAAACCGCGTTGGAAGTCCTCCAATATTTTTCTACGAAGCTTCTTCTTCCTATGCCCATAATTTAATTTTCTTCTTGCTTGGAAAGTCATCTTAATTTTGGGAAATCAAAATACACCAGATTATTTATATTTATTCATCCCAAACAAGCAAAATAATGATATATTGGGAAACTATATATATAAATCATGTAGTGTACACTTAATTCTATAATTAATATTTTTCTCTTAAAAAAAAAAGAATGACGATTTTGCTCAATATACATATTTGTAAAAATAATTAAGAATATAACATACTCCTCCGTTTCGTTTTAGTTGTCGTTTTAGGACTTAAATTTTGTTTCGTAATAGTTGTCGTTTTAGGTTTTCAATGCAAATATTTGGTAAAAATTCCAGTATTATATCTATTGTTTTAATGTTTTGGCCAATGAAAAAATTTATAATAGATATTAATAAAGGGTAAAACAGAAAATTTAATGCTTTTCTTAATTTGTGTGAAAAAACATTAAACGACAACTAAAACGAAACAGAGGGAATACTAAATAAGAAAATATAGTAAGGGCATCTCCAACCATAACACTATTTTGGTGCTCAAATAACACTATATTTGGTGTAGATTTGACACTAAAATATTTTCCTTCTCCAACCATAACACTAAGAGCAGGATTATCGGTTAGGATCTTAAACTTGGATCTTAACCTTATTTTAAATAAAAATTTCACTATTTGTAAGTTAAGAAAAGTTATACAATATCTTAACAAATTTTTACTCCATTGGTTAAGAAGCAAAGAGTTCTTAAGGATAAAAAATTCAAATTGTTGCAAAACACTAACTTACAATACAAGTTACACACATTTCTCTTCCAAAAGCTTCATGTTATCACATTTCTCTGCAACTCCACTTGTTTCTCCTGCACTTCAACTCTGGCTGCAGTAAGCTCATCACTTTGTTCATGGCAAATTCTCCAATAAACCTCATCAAAAAGAGTAGAAAGGATCAAAGCAATGAAAACAGAGAACACTTATCAAAAACAGAGACATTTATCTATTTCAAGCAAAACTCATTCAAACAGACCAAACCAATCAACTGATTATGTTTTGCCAAAATTAAACAAACACAAGTTCATTCAAACATTGATTCATTCGTTAGAAAACTGAGACTTAACTTATGAAAAAAAGACTATTAGCATTGGCTCATGTTATTTGTGCGATAGATTAGGTATTCTACTTGAGCAGAGATCACCAAATAAACACTTGGAAAAACACAAATCTAAATCATGTAAAATCAGAAGTTCAATGATATAGCCATAATTGAGGTATGCTGCACTAAACAAAGCTTATACCCGCACAGAAATAAACGATGCAAGAGAATATACCAAACAATGCAAAGTACTTACATGTATCAAAGGAGAGAAGAAAGCAAAATCTTAGAGACCCTCGTTCATAACTGACGATATGGTTTCCACTTCAACTTATGTTGCTACGTTGACCAGTGAGTTGAAATTATCCTTCAAAGTAAAAATTTCAATTAGGCAATGACATAATATTACAACTAAAACGATATATGGTCATAGTATTAAAATATGTTTTTATCTGAACCTTTTCTAACCAATTTCTTAAATTTATGAAGCACAAAGGCATTTCTTTTTCCAGGTGGCTGGACAGAAAAGCAAATCACAATCAGTTAAAGAACCCTAACATCATAGAATACTAATTTTGCTACCAATTTCTCTCCCAATTGTGAAAACCCTAATTTACGATGTACTAATGAAATCAGAGAGAAATTAGAGAGATTCGTACCCTTTCTCATGTAGATCATGATACCGACGGATCAAAAACGCAATCCCCACTCATTTCTCCTCTCAGTTCGACGGATGAAGACGAGTCGGCTCGATTTCTCCGGCGGAAGCTTCGAGAATTGCAGGGATAGAGAGACGCCACCGAAAAGCTCTGATTACGTGAGATGAAACACGCAATTCCATCTCATTTCTCCTCTCAATTCGTCAGATCAACAGCCTCATAGGATATCGCCGTTTTGGTTTCGAGGAAAAGAGAGAGAAGTCGAGAGAGAAATAAAAAAACGAGGAGTTTTTTTTTTGGTTTTGTTCTTTCTTCAAACTAATCAGAGCAGGACACGTGCTCATATCTAAACTCATCAAAAACATCTTAAATAAGATATACATCTTAGCATTTGTTTGATCAATTCATTAAATTTAATAATTTTTTCCCCTAAGATATCTCTAAGATATCACCGATAAACCTGCTCTAAATATCACACTAAAAATAACATGTTCTATTATTATATTATTAAACTAAAGATGTCTTTTATTTGTAATATTTTTAATTTATTAATTAATATAAAATTACAATCGAAATATCAAAAATAGCTTTTAATTTTATAAGTTTATGTTTTCCATGGTTAATTGAATTTTATTATGTATTTTTCAATCAATTTTTTGTTGTTGTTTTAATATTTTCTACTGATTTATATTGCATATTATCAAAAATAAAAATAAAAAATATATGGTTTTGATACATTGTTTTTTTACTTACAAAATTTAGTAAGATTATTCAATTACAAGACAAATCATATTTAGTATACTATAACTAAATAATAATGTTAATGTAAAAAATTAATATTTTATTTTTACCGTTGCTACAGTAACACACCAAATATAGTGGAGTACTGTACAAAATAAAGGAATCACACTATTATAGTGTAATATTTACAGTTGGGTTGGAGTGAAAAAGTGGACTGCATCACTTTAAAATGCAGTTTTACCGTTGCCTTGGAGATGACCTAAGTAACTATGGGATGTAGTGATATCAAGAAAGAAAAAAATAAAAATAGATAGAAAAATATATGACATGTGAACAAAAGATAGTATATATTACATGTTATACACAGAATATATTGTAGTCAACTTTTTTTTAGGTTAGTTATTGAATTATTAAAAAAAATTTATGGTCATACAGCCTAATTTCTCAAAAAAGAATTAATGTCTTACTGTATTTTGTTTTCTTGTTAAGGAAATATATTAAATATGACTTAGATCATCATGACCATTGACGTTTACAACATTCGTATATATTGACCATATCTCTTATAATCAGATCTCATCTTCATCTGTTTGTGGATTCTTTTATTGTTTGTTGTGCAAGTAACAAAGATCAAGATGAATTCAAGATTCTCTCTTCTTCTGTTCTTGTTCTTGGTCATAGTTTCTCAATCAAAATCTTCCGTCTTCAAAACCTTCCCCAGTAATCTCTCTCCCAAATCTCCTCTTTCCTCAGTCGTCCTCCCTCTCTCCGGCAACGTCTTCCCTCTCGGGTAGGAACATCAATGTTTTCTCTATCTTGTTAACAAAACAAAAAACAATGTTTCGATATTTTTACTCTGTTTTTGTTCTGTCTTTGTAGATACTACTCTGTCTTACTTCAAATAGGAACCCCTCCAAAGGCATTTGAATTTGATATTGATACTGGTAGTGATCTCACTTGGGTTCAATGCGATGCTCCTTGCACTGGTTGTACTTTGGTATGTATATTCTCTCTGTTTTCGAAATGAAACTTGATTGGATTCTCTGCTTCTTATGATCACTGTTTTGTTGTTTTTGTAGCCTCCTATACGTCAGTACAAGCCTAAAGGAAACACTGTCCCGTGCTTAGACCCGATTTGTTTAGCACTTCACTTTCCTAACAAGCCTCAATGTCCAAACCCGAAAGAACAATGTGACTATGAAGTTAATTATGCTGATCAAGGTTCATCAATGGGTGCACTTGTTATTGATCAGTTTCCTTTAAAACTCCTAAATGGCTCGGCCATGCAACCTCGTTTAGCATTCGGGTGAGCTATAAAACAGACATGTGAATCCTGAGATGATGAAAATGTTAATTCTTAAGGAAACTTGTGTTTTCAGGTGTGGTTATGATCAGATTTTACCTAAAGCACATCCTCCGCCCGCGACTGCTGGAGTTTTGGGGCTTGGGAGAGGGAAAATTGGTGTCTTGCCACAGCTTGTAGCCGCGGGACTAACGAGAAATGTGGTTGGACATTGCCTAAGTTCTAAAGGTGGAGGCTATTTGTTCTTTGGAGACACTCTCATTCCTACCCTTGGTGTGGCCTGGACACCATTATTATCACCAGAGTATACTTTCTTCTTTCATATTTGCCGCGATCGGCTTCAGAGAGATTATACTTTCTTCAAATCTGTTCTTGAGTTTAAGAACTTCTTCAAGACCATAACAATTAACTTTACCAATGCCAGAAGAATCACTCAGCTCCAGATTCCACCCGAATCTTATCTCATCATCTCTGTAAGAAAATGTCAGTAGAACCAAAAAAAACTCTCATCATCACATTCAAAATACTCAATCATGAATTCTTATTCTTTTCTTCAGAAAACTGGTAATGCCTGCTTGGGACTACTAAATGGAAGTGAAGTAGGATTACAAAACTCCAACGTAATCGGAGGTAAGACGAACAAACAAACAACATCAACACTTTAACAATAATGTTATTGTCTTAAACTAATTTTGTTTCTTTCGTCTGTTTTCTTTTAAAGATATCTCTATGCAAGGGCTAATGGTGATCTACGACAACGAGAAACAACAACTCGGATGGGTTTCTTCAAATTGCAATAAGCTTCCCAAAACATGACACCATCACAACTATAATAACTCTTTAAAGTTTAGAATTTACATATAAACAATTTAAGACCATATAATAAAACATTTTTTACAGTAAGAAAGATGATCATTAGCGCTTTATGGATTAATTAAAATGACTGATTAGACCAAACAATCTCAATTTCTAGACTTCTATCAGACGAGTCATCTTTCTTGCTTTCATCATTTAGCTTGAAAATTCCACTGTAACTTCCTTCTGTCAATACTTTGTCAATTGGTATCCTCACTTTACCAAGATTTTTCTGCAAAATTTAACAAAGTTACCGATTCTGCGAAAGATTCGAATAATAAAACAACGATAAATCTACGTACGTTTCGAAAGATGTTGTTAGATTTGCAGACGATTTCAAGAAACTGTCCTCTTGGAGGACTAGCAAAGTCCCATGTAAATGATTCTTTCCAAACCGGTGAGCTGCTTCGTTTCACAACCTGAACCAAAACCGGTTTAATCAACTTATAATCGAAAACTGAATTGCACCGTATTGAATTGAACTAATACCGGTTAAAATCGGATTAATTTGCACCGAATTGCTTAGAACCGGATTAAACCGAAATTACATTACCTTGGTTTTCTTTGTGGGACAATTATCGATGATTAATCTGCAAAACGCGTTAGACCGTTTCAGATTATCACCGCGTTTAATCGCCACCGTGAGACTTCCCGGCAAACAATTCAAGAGACTGTTACCTCTCTCATGGAAGCTCGACGGAGCTGGAGATTTCGATTTCGATTTCATCATCAATTGCAAAACCGGAATCGCCTCCGCCGCTAAAACTGCTTGAGATCTCGCCGTCTCCGTCGGCATAGTTATCCACGACTGTCGTAACGTGTATATCGTATCCATCGCCGAATCTCTCGCTTCTTGCTCGCCGGATTTCAGAGCTCCGATTAAGTGAGGGATACAAGCGGTAGCCGCTTCCGACGAACGGAGTTTGGGAAACGTTGTGAGAATCGCGTTTAGCGTTCTTACTATTTCCACGTTCATCGCCGCCGTTGTCCAAAACTCTCTCTCCATCGCATCTGCATTAAAATCGGTGAGTGTTTGATTTCTCCGATCATAAATTTTGAATTCGGAATCGGAACTTACTTGTTAGAGATTTGATGATTTCGCCGGAGACGTATTCTTGAAGTGTATGATTAGAGAAGAGAGATTTGATAATTAGAGCTGCTTGTGTAGAAACTTGTGGATTACAAGATTTAAGCATTTCTTGAACCCAATATACTCCACCAGCTTCAGCCATAGCTTTACGACTTGTTCTACTATGCATTGCGAAGTTTCCCAAAGCACGCATCACAACCATTTGCATTTCCTCGCTCGGTTCCTCCTCGAGCAAGCTGATTAACGCACGACATGCCACGGGCGAGTCTGTGGCTTTAGCGAGTCCTTCGTGTTGAGAGATGTCACCTAGAGCCATTGCTATGAGAATTTTTGCGGATTCTGATACTGTGTCTGGGTCAAGTATGTACTCAGATAAAGGGGTTAGTACAAACTGGCATATCTTTGTCTCTCTAACTTTTGGATTGCGTAGTATTAATTCGAGTAATCTTGCGGAGAGTTCTTCGCAATGGTGGGATCTTAGTAGATCTAGTAATGCGTCGAGTGCACCGGCTTCTGCCATCTCTTGAACACTTGAGGATTCTTGATTTGCACAGATGATCAATGTGTCGATGGCTAAGATCACTGTGCTCTCAGCTGTTGAGAACAACATTTTTGATAAAACTGGTATAGTCACTGAAAAGTAATAGTGTTCTGGGTTGAATCTGAGAATGTTGCAGAGAATGAAAGCTGCTGATTCCCATAGATATACAGGAAGCAGAGGATCTTCGTCGATAATAACCTTGGACAGCTCTTGAATTCCTCCGGCATCTGCTACCTCCTTTGTCCATGTAACTGAGGATTTCTCTAAACCCATCACTGCTATCTCTTGTAAGTTTCTTACCCTGATCCCGACAAGTTTCACAAGAGGAGGGATGAGATTTTTGGTCGTTATCTCTTCTTGGAAACGTTGCATTTCGAGTAGAGAGGTCAGTAGTTCTGTGGTTGCATTTTGGACCGCTATAGATTCAGATTCAAGCAGTGGTATCAAAGGCATAATAATTGCGGATGATGCAATTTTTAATGATTCAAGAACCATTGGCTTCTCCAAGATGTTTGCTATAGCTTGTAAACCACCGAGTTGGCCTTGAAAATCCAAGTCTTGTCTAAGCAAAATTAAGAGAAGCGGTTGTACCATTTTTATAGCCTCTTGGCTTCTAGCTACAACACCAACGTTCGTCAAAACTCTGAAAAACTCTGCGATTACAGAACACAAAGAACTTGGAGGAGATCTGGAGAGTTGACCAAGGCATTTCTCGATTATCCCCATTTTAATCAGATCCATTTTACGGGGAGTGTTGTCTTTAGCCATTTTCATAAGACAATAAATTGCAGCCTCACTGATTAGATAGTTTTCGGAAGCCACAAAGCCGAAGAACAGATTCACACAATCATATTCTTCGGCGACCTCTGAGAATCTTTTGATATCCAAGAGTCTGTCAAGTGCAAACATTCCGGCTTCTATACCTGTGCTTGTTCCTGACCGGACAAGAGATATAAGGGGAACCATGCAACCTGCGGCGGACGAGCTTGTTCTCAAACATTCGCTGGTGAATAGAAAGCGACATATCCTCGCAGCACTTGTCTTTAATTCAAGTGAGGAACTATCTGAAAATAAAATTTTGTAAATGTTGTCCAATGGGTTTCCTTCAAGACTAGTAAGAATATCTGACCTTGGACTTGTTCCCATAGTTAGCTTCACTAAAGCTGTTAGAGCAGCCACTCTCTCACTCTCCAATGTTGTATTCAACATTTCAATAAGAGGGGAAAGTGCTTTCCATGCTAATTCGGAATCTCTGATGTGCTCTGAGCTAAAAAGTTCACAGAGCACCCTTGCAGCATTGTAGCGGGTACTTCGAGAAGCAAGATTAAGAATTCCTATGAGCTGCTTCATGGAACTTATAGCTGTTTTGTGCCGTGTGATTTCTGGGCTGCGGAAGAGTGATTCTAACAGTTCAGAAACAATGATCTCAGTCGAATCTTGAGGACTCAAAGAAAGGTACTTCGCTAAAGTATCCAGAGCTCCAGCATCAGCAATATGTAATTTACTTGAATCACCACACTCTGCAATACGACTAAGAAGCCGAACAGCCACTGGAATGGCTCCAGCTTTATCTGCATATGGCTTCAAAAGATTCACCAGCAACGGAATACATTTTTTGGTAAATGAACCACGTCTTACTCTTTCATCTTCGAAGAGTACCGCTAAAGTGGCCTCAAAAGGATTTTGTACCAGAGATAGCTCTTCTGCTAAGGCACAAAAACTCCCTGTGTCTGATTCCGCACACCCTACCAAGTTTATCGTAGTTTCTACGATATCTGAATTCATGATTTCTGAAATGATCCTATCATTCTTATGACGAACTAACCCTGCCAACACTTGTGCAGTAAAATATCCGTCAATCATCTGATCAGATTGCATGAAAGGTGCTAGTGTTGGCAAAAGATTTTCTGTTGCTGGAGATGAGACAACATTTGGTTCCTGAGACATAACAGCTAAGAATGACATAGCAATCCATTTTTCCTCGGAATCTGAGGTATTCTCCTGCAAAATTAATGATCATGACTCAGATGCAGGATTTGAAAAAAAAAAAAAAGCTAAAGAGAGCTAGTAAGTATACTTATCTACCTGTGTGTTGGACTTGTTTCTTTGAAGCTTTTCTGCAATAATTTCAAGTCCATTGGCTTCCATGACAACAAGTCTGTTCGTAGGATGAGAAGAGCAAATAATGGAGAGTAACCACATTGAGACGGTGCTTCCCAAGACAGTAACTGGATCAACCATTTCGGAGTCATCCATCCGTAAGCACAAATTGATTGTAATGAAAGATCTTGGTCTTTGAATTTCAATTCCATATGAAGCACATTTAGAGTTCTGCTTTGACATATCAAGAAGAGTGTTTACTAAGCTTTTCAAATACCCTGTTCGTTCAATTGCTTCCGCCCATAATTTCTTATCGTTCTTTGCTGCACACACAAGCAGCATAGCCCCTCCGACTTTTATTTCAGGACTTGATGAGTTGATTGTTCTGTTAGCCAATGAAGAAATTGATTTTGATTGTGTCACCAAAAGTTGACCTAACAAGACAAACTGTGTCTTGCAGAAGCGAGACAAAATCTCTATTGCTTTATCTTGCACCAATGGATGACCTTCAGCCACACCGCGGACAAGAGAGTCTAAATTTGAAGGAACTCCAGCGAATGCAGAAAAGGGGTTATGGGACAAGTTAGCACCATATTTAGCTTTGGCTAGTAAAGAGAGTACTTCTAAGACGTCGATGAAAGCGCTATTGTTCAGGTCAGTTGCGTTTAAGAGATCAATGAGTTCAGAAACAGCAAATCGACATTGGTCGTTTCCTTTGAACACATCACTGACCTGGAAATGCTTCAGTAATTGATGAAGAGCATGTGAAGCATTTCTCTTACCTTGCAGTGTTCCTTCTCTCAGTACTCTAGTCAAAGCAGAAACAACATCATCATTTAACGCTTCGGCTGCAACATTTGGGTCAGAAAGAAGGTTCGCAAGAGTGGACATGGGATTCTCTGTTGACTCGATTGGGTTTGTTTTTGCTGACTTTATCAATGGTTTGATCACTTCGACTTCTGGACCGGATAACTTCTTTGGGCCAGTTTTTTTCTTTGTTGGATTGGATAGAGAGCCCAGGGCATGCGCTAACTGCGTTGCAACAGCGTGAGTGTTTCCGCTTAAAAGCTTTGTGCACGGATTATCATCCTCATCAAATCCAAGACCGCCACAAAGGTCATTTCTTGAACTGAATAGATCAGCCAAGACAGAAGCTGCGTTCTCTTTCATCTTCTCGTTTGAAGAGGCAAGTCTCTGGACAAGAGACCTCAATCCATTATTAGCTGCAGAACCCTTGGTGACAAAATCCTCCAAAGAAGCCGATGCAAGAACATGGCCTAGAACTCTTATCAAATGAGCCTTTGATTTAGGAGCATCTCCAAGAAACAAAGCCTGTACTTGCTCGATAACTCTTGGATCAGCTGTTTTAATCAGTTTCAAAAGCGTATTTGCTGAGCTCTCTTGGGATTTTGGTCCACCGTTCTTTAGAAGCCCTAAAAGTGCGGGAATAGCTCCTGCTTTCTCCACACATAGACGAATTTCCTCGCTGTGACAACATAGGTTCCAAATTACACGGACCGCATCCTCCTTTGCTTTTTGAGACACACCAGTCTCTAGTATCTGTAATAATGGAGGAATTCCGCCTGCAGAAGTAACAGCCCATCTACTTTCTTCGACCTTGTCAGTCAAGATCGCTAAGAACTCAACAGACAGTTCTTGATGTTGTTCGCTGGACAACCCAAGATACGGTATGAGGATTTGGATTCCTTCTCTCTTCCCAATAGCATCCCAAACATTCCCATGTTTGCATAAATTTGACAAACAAGTTATCATCCGCTCGCGTGGACCAGCTGTGGCCAAGATTGTTAGACCAACTAAAACCCTCTTAGCCTCCACATTGTTGAGTAATTTTGATAGATCAGCGTTTCCGTATAGACTTGCCATAGCCTCCAAGATACGTTCTTGGATCAATTGAGTATCCCGGGGCTTCAGTAGTTTCACTAGTATTCCTTCTGTTAGTGTTGGATCAAAAGTTTCTCTAGCATCACCACAACTTAGCTGAAACTTCCTCAGAGCATAAGCAACAGCTCCAAGAATATCAGCGATGGGCTCAGTGAGGCGTGGAGACAAAGATAGCCGTCCAAGATACACTATCAAACCAGACATTCCTCCGCATAAGTTTGCTAAAGCTTGTGTCCCATAACTTTGTAAGACGCGTTCAGTTTCCTCATCCACTGACTCTTTAGACGAAGCAACCACTGTGCTAATCAGAAGGTGGATCCCATCCAAATCTCTTGCCACAATTTTAGCTGATATGATGGCTTCTATAGCATTGACTACACTGGCACGTACGAAAACGCTGTTTTCCTCACCTAGAAGCGGAACCAGAACTTGCACAGCACCTGACTCTACTATTTTTGAGATGCTACTAGTGAAAATCCTAATAAGACGGGCTAAGAGAGAAGCTGCGTTTGATTGAGATACCGGGTTACTAGACTGTAGAAGCTTTAAGATGATATCGACTCCACCATCTTCAAGTGTAATTGCCCAAAACCCGTCTCTATCACCGCAAAGATTTCTCAAAGCCCCAACCAAATGTCCTTCCACTGTCTTGTCCTGCTTTTTCTTCGTCTTTAACTGATCCCACAAATTCGGTACCACGCCTTCTGTGACAAATATTTTAGTACCTACACTATCACCATCCAGTCCACACAAGGAAACTTCATATATGGCCTCGGCCGCAGCTCTTCTTGCATCCACCGAGTCAGATTTCAAAAGTGACAACAACGGCGGGATGCATCCGCCTATCAGTACTTTAGAACGAACGTTTTTGTCTTTGCATAGAACGGTCAGGACTGAAGCGGAATTGAGTTTTGCCAAGAGGGTTCCATTCCTGAGAAGTGATATAAAGGCAGGCATGGCGTTCACGTTCTGGCTAATGATCTTTCTAGATTCTTTTTTACCCTTGGCTAAACCAAGAAGCCGAGCGGTGCTAAGCTCTTTCTCTTGCGCCGATGATTTCTTGGCATGAAGCTGCTCGATGAGACGTGTGATTGTAACCGCTGCTTTCTCCGGATCATCTATCTCGGACGTCATTGTTTTATTGTGGTCCCTGCTCCCAAAAGCCCTCAATTAGAGAGAGCAATGCAAATGAATGATCAAAGTAGATGTATCGGAAACAGATCAATACCTCAGTCGAGGAGAAGACAAGGAAGGTGTCTCTTCCTGATTCGTTGAGGAGGGGGCCTTTGCCATATTCTCTTCTCTGCGTACAAGAAAACTTCAAAAGATAAGATACTGAAAGAAAAACATGTAGTTTCTTATAAATAAATAAAAAACTTATTTTGTTATTTGTTTTAAGGTTTATATAGTTCTTCCAAATCCCACGTCTATGCATGAATTGGTGATTGTAACACATTTCTGAAACACATCTGAACGTAAGACTTCGAAAATTTTAACTCTTTTCTAAAATATATCTAAAGAAAAGAAATGCATAATTTATTTGTAAAATTACCCTTTTTATCCAGAACGTTTCTTCAACTACCTCCTCCGGGGCGAAAAATAGTATAGATGATTGGTTTTGATCCCAGGATCTAAATGGATTAAAAAAAAAAAAAAAACAAATGAAAAAGAATTTTCAAATTGAAAACAAATTGAAATAAAGAATTGATAAGAATCATACCTCTCTATTTTGTCGTTGCTACAAGAATTGCCGGACAGTTTTTCCGACAAACAAGAAAAAAAAATCCTTCAAAGGTTTGACAGAGAGGAGGCAGAGAGATCATAAAATCCCAAACTATTTACGCCAATGTAAAAAAAATGAAAAAAAAAATGCCTATTGATGCAACTTCCTGACTTTTCTATTTCTATAACAATTTTTACTATTATTTTTCTTTCTCTGACAATCAATAGTTATCACACACCTAATTTAGTAAGAACAAATACGACTAGGTGATGTACGCATAGGAGTTATAATTTGGTTTAGAATTAAATTGAATGTACAAATAGTGTTATTCATCTTCATCTTCTTGTATCTACGAGAGATGTTAGGATTTGTAAAACTTCATCAAGAAGATTGGTGAAAAATATAAGGATAAGCCTGACGAGATGTGAGTTTATAGTTGCTAGTTTAGCAAACAAGGAAATATCGGTAAATAGTGTTGCATTCGTAAATTTTAGTTAATACTGATCTAGATTTTGAGATAAGAACATTGATGAGGAAAGATTTACGAGTGATATTGTAACGCCCTGACCGCCATCTCTATTAATGGATCCTACGTCATCTCTAGGTCCATGGGCCCACGTTCTCTCTAGGTCCATGGGCCCACCATCTTCTGATGGCCGGTCCGCTACATCTGGGAGGCTTTAAAGACTTGTTACCAACCCTACAAATCACCACATAATCTTTTTCTATGTTTTGTCCTCACCCACACAGTTCCGATAATCACTTCCCGGAAGATCACCCATCCTGAAATTGCTTTAGCTCAAACACTATTAACTGTGGAGTTCTTTCAGGACAGTTGACCGAAAAGATAAGTGCACTTTGGTGACATAAGTAGCCAAATCAATTCTTTTAAACCTCTCCGCATGCACCACCATATTTTTGAAAACGGGGTGTTACAGATATTCAGCAAAGCAACATGTTGTGATTCTCAAACGTCTATTTTTGTTTGTGAGTGTCCTTGATTGAGTTTTTTAATCAGGAAAGAAGAAGATGACCGATCAAACATGGAACAACCTCAAGGCATGTTTTAGGTTGGATAAGTCTTATATGAGATTCTAGCCTTTGGAAGATAAAAATACTTGCAATAGACGACAACAAAGTTGACGAGGAAGCAATCGACGACAAAGTTGATCCAAAAGTATATGGAAAAGACATACAAACCTCTCTAAATTAATAAATTCTTCCGGTCCCGAGTTGGGACCAGTGTAAAATATGACTTAAATCGATAAATTAATAAGATAATAATTTTTTTGAAAATCTCATATAAACATATGGTCCAATCGATATCATAAATTAATAATTGTATAAACTTATCAATATATATATATATATATATATATATGATATAAATTTATATATGTCATATTTGAATTACTATGATATATATTTAAAATATTCTATGTCAAAAATTTAATAAAATATGACTCTATTATTCGAAAAAATTTGTGTTGTTTTTTAAACTTAATAATTGCTTCTCTATTTGTAATTAGTTTTTTAAAAATATTACTTATAAAGAAAAAAAATTATTTTAGATAGAAATGTTTTTAAGAAATTATAAAATTAGTAAAATCTCTCTATAAATTAATAATTATTAATTTATCGATAAATTAATACTTCTCTAAATTAATAAAATTTGCTAGTCCCGACATTATTAATTTATAGAGGTTTTACTGTAGTTGCAATGTTTTTGTTTTTATTTTTATTTTTATAAGACCTTAGATTAAAGTAGAAAAAATACATGAAATCAAATAAAATCCAGCGAAAGAAAATAAAAGAACAGAATCACCAGAAAGGGAGTGGCAGAGGACAAAGGAGTGAGACACGCACACTCAATCGTACAAGAGACAGATACACTGTGACCTGGGTAAAAATAATTCTCGATCCGCTATTGGATACACAAGAGGTAACTCATCGTGTAGACCAGAAGAGAACCAAAGCTTCACCATGCTTTGATCTCAAATTCTTTAAGGCGGTTGTTTTGTTCTTGATCTCCAAGTCTATTTTGAGAAGAATGATTGAGCGAGGAAGAGTGATTCCAATGTGGTAGTGACGGTTCTGCTCATTCCATATCTCATAGAGACAAGTTTTCCAACCTTGAAGAAAGGTAAGAGAGGTTACAACATTTGACGAGAATGATAATTACCAAAGAAGAATCTGATCCCAATCCACATGAGGGTTTGGAAGGGTAAATTTCAGGCCAGAGCCAGCAGTCATGTTTTTTAACCATCAGCTTCAATTTTCACAGTTTAGCCATTTACATCATTTCGGATGAAAATGCCCATGAATAAAACTGTAGTCGTGTACGTCTGGTTAGAATTTGATTGGACTGTGTACGAATTAGTTACGTTTTCGTCAACTACAGTACATTGATCTCGTTGGCTACAGTTAAAAAAGAGAAAAAAATAAATAAATGTCAGAGGGATTTAATGGTTTTAAAAATAATTATACAATTTTCCACCACTTTAAGTTTTCACATTTTCTTTCTTTTTATTATTATGAATAATTTTTATTTTTATTGTTTTTTTTCTATCCTTTAAAATCCATTTTACTATATATTATCTATTCTATTAATTGGGAAGCATTTTTTAATAACTAACCTCAATAAAGGTAAAAAATTACAAAGGAATGCCATTACAAATTTAGTATTTCAAGTGAAAACAAAAAATTTCGTCGAGGGGTATAATTGACATTTGGGATTCAAAAGGACGCGGATCCTGGATATTTAATCGGATATCCATCTGGTAAATGAGACGGATCACGGGCGAACTTCGGTAATACACACGAACCTTTGATTGGTTGCATAATGGGCTTTATGTTTATTGGCCCACTATTAATATCAAGCCTTTATGATCCATATCTACAAACATTCAATAGAAAATTAATTAGATAACATGTAATCAAATCAATTTCCATATCAAACACCACTTAAAATTCGCATAATCATTTATTCTATATAACAACCCGATTCTAAAATATTCCGTTGATTAAGGATAAACTTATTCCAATATTATAACACGTAATCAAATCTATTTCCATATCAAGCACAACTTAAAAATCTCATAATCATTTATTCTATAAAACAACCCGATTCAAAAATATTCCGTTGATTAAGGATAAACTTATTTCAATATTATAACACGTAATCAAATCTATTTACATATCAAGCACAACTTAAAAATCTCATAATCATATAGGGACCTGCATTTAGCCAAATCTATTATGAATTGTGTCGTTAAGAGAGTTTTACATGTGCGTACACGTTATTAATTTGTGTGTTTATCTGGTACACATATTAGAGCACCCTTATCCATGGGCTCTTAGATGAATCTTAGCCAAATCTTAAGCTAAGATTTGTGAAGAAAGAGGTCTTATATAAGAGCTTTTAGGTTTATATTTAAGCTTTTTCTTCACAAATCTTAGCTTAAGATTTGGCTAAGAACCCATGGATAATGGTGGTCTTAAGAATTTTTATTCATACTAAACAATTTTTGAAATATGGATATGTGTAAGTAAATGGTGCAATATCAAATCTTATGTGAGGCCAATTAGAGAAGTAAATGAAACAATCATACACAAGGATACGTGAAAGTGAATGGTGCAATATCACATTCACTCTCAATTCTTATAATTACAAATACTTAGGCCTGGGCAAAAAACCCGGATCCGATACCCGAACCGATATCCGGACCGAAAAAATCGGGTTGGAGCGGGTTAGGGTATTAGAAAAATTATCTCATTGGGTAGAGTATTGGATTACCCATGGGTATCGGGTCGGGTCGGGGATTACCCGTTACCCATTTAGGGTACCCACAAACCCGAAGAAATACACATGTTTATATATGTATATAGATAATTAGATATATAGTCTTATATAGTTATATACTTATATGTATGTCCTAGGTTTTAGGTTTTGTGACTTTTGACATTTGAGTTTATATATGTATATAGATAATTAGAATCTACTCTTAACACTTAAGAGCGAAATAGTCATCTTTGTTATTTAGGATTGAATTTAGTATTTAAATGTCATGTTTGATGTTCTATTCTCTTATTTGATCATTTGAGTATGTAAAGTGATTTTAAACTTCGGGTATTACCCAAACCGACCCGAACCCGACAATACCCGAACCGGACCGGAACCGAAATCATAGGAATACCCGAATGGCCATAAATTCATTACCCATTCAACCCGAACCCGAACGGGTTTTACCCGAATCCGAACGGGTTACCCATATGCCCAGGCCTACAAATACTAAATATCTCATTCTTATAATTTCGTTAGTAAATTCGTTTATCATTTTTTTTTGTGGTGAAGTGAAACTATGGAGTTGATTTAAGAGTCAAATCATATAAATGTACATCTATTTTGCTTAAAGTGGGTGGTCAAAGAGTTATTGAAGTATGAAAAATATAAAAATAAGAAATTAAAATATGAGAAAGATAAAAGTGCGCTTAAATCTTAGTCATAATGAGTTATTACGGGTCTGAGTGGTAACCTAAAGCTAAAGTTGTACCAGTTTTTTAGCTATTAGCTGGAGCTGTTAGGGAATAATGCAAAGCTGTACAAAAGAATAAAACACGAAAAGTGGGTGGTCAGAGAGTTCTTGAAGTATGAAAAATATAAAAATAAGAAATTAAAATATGAGAAAGATAAAAGTGCGCTTAAATCTTATATAAATCTATTTTGCTTAAAGTGGGTGGTCAGAGAGTTCTTTGCTTAAAGTGGGTGGTTAGAAAGTTCTTGAAGTATGAAAAATATAAAAATAAGAAATTAAAATATGAGAAAGATAAAAGTGCGCTTAAATCTTAGTCATAATGAGTTATTACGGGTCTGACTGGTAACCTAAAGCTAAAGCTGTACCAGTTTTTTAGCTATTAGCTGGAACTGTTAGGAAATAATGCAAAACTGTACAAAAGAATAAAACACGAAAGCTGTACAAAAAACAACACAGGACAAATTTAAAAAATTTACTCTGATTAGAAACATCATAGCGGTACAAATAATAAGTAATATTCAGAGTTTAGAAAAAAAAATTACATAGAAATATACTTTAGTATATAATTACATATGAAAATTAAAATTATACAGAATGAACAATATTTTATTGTTAGAATAATAATATGAATTTACTAGTCCTATAATAAATAAAAATATCTTTTTACTTATTATAAAATTAAAACATTAAAACTGATTTACTAAAATTAATTTTAGTAAATTTTTTTAATCTAAAATACAATGTCTCATACATACATAGAGAATTTAAACATACACAAACACATAAACAATTGAAATTAAGTACGAGCTTCCCATAACAAATCTGCTATTTGATTACGTACATCTGCCATATATGCTCCACTTCTCGATGTTTCCACCTCTTCTATTTCAATGACCACACTTACATCTACATCATGTTGTCCATTATCATTTTCATTATCTGCATCGGTCTCTAAATCATCATCAACAATATTGGAACGCCGAATGTAATTATGAAGATCCATTGTAACAAGCACTATTTTTTTTTGAATTTCTAATTTGTATCGCGGTAGTTGTTTCACGACCCTCCATTTATTTTTTTCTGATTCCAAAGTTTTTTCAATAGCAGAACGAAGTGAAGCATGCCATCTGTTGAACAATTCATACTTATTTCTTGGAGGTGGACCATTATGAAATTGCCCTAAATGATACCTCAGCTCTTCTTATTGGTTACTCCGGTAAGGAGCTAACTAACCCTTTCGGTTCGCATATCCAGAA